TTGTTCTTCGTATTGTTTTAAAGTATAATTTTATTTTAAATTATAATAATTAATTAATTAAAAAAAATATTTAATTATATTTCTAGCATACAGATGGCGTCGAAAACACTTTATAATAGCATCCCAACAAAATAAATTAACAAAATTAAATATATATAAAAATTTATTAATTAAATCGTAAAAATTTTAGTTTTTAAAAACTACTATTGATAAATTGCGCGTAAATAAAAATTTTTTAATTATATGCAACATTAATCATAAGCAAATATATTTCAAATATTATAATTCAAATAGGATTTTTATGATAAATACATAAATTGAATATTTTTAATTAAAATTTTATTAATTAAATTTTAGGTCTGGCACGAATTTGCGATAAATTAAATAGCAGTATACGAGGACAAAAATTGATAATATTAAAGACGGTTGATAAAGTGTATGTAGTAAGTCACGGATGAGGAAAGAGTACGCATGCTCGACTGTGACTGGGTTCCCGACTAAGCATGCAACTCATCCAATCTATCCTGTAGTAATTGCTTGGTACAATGAACGCATCACTTCGACTGTCTGCAGTGTGACGACCACATCTCAAGCCGCTGGGCTATGCTTCGTCCAGAACTCAAGACATCAGCCACCACCGGCGGACGGTTTGATTTCGACGACGGCGGAACATACTGCGGTGGCTGGGAAGATGGTAAAGCACACGGACACGGAGTATGCACTGGTCCGAAAGGTCAAGGAGAATACAGTGGTTCTTGGCATTATGGATTCGAGGTATCTGGCGTATACACATGGCCGAGCGGTAGCACTTACGAAGGACAATGGCAAAACGGAAAGAGACACGGTCTGGGTATGGAGAGCCGCGGAAGATGGATTTATCGCGGAGAGTGGACACAGGGTTTTAAGGGTCGTTATGGGGTCAGACAGAGCATATCTTCCGGAGCTAAGTACGAAGGAACGTGGGCTAATGGCTTACAAGACGGATACGGATCGGAATCTTATGCCGATAATGGTACGTAACTTATTTTTTACTTATTTATTTATTTTTGGAATTACAAAATCGCACTCAATACGCTTCTGTTATTTTTTAATTTACGATTGCTTTTTGTCTACGAAAACATAAAAAATATGAAAACGAAAAAATCTTCAAAATTTTATATAAATTTACCAGAAGTATAAAAAAAATATTAATATTGGTGACGTTTTTGTAATTCAAGAATTATTATGTTCAGATATAATCAGAAACATAGCTATCCTTCATAGTATGTTTACATAAAAAAATCATCCTCACGTATACTAGAAAAATAAAGATCGTGGTTTGTGTTGACTTAATTCATTGATCGCTACGTGAAAGCAGTTCTCTTCCATCAATGGTATCGTTAGGACTATCTAAGGTTTCAGAGCATCCGGTGTTCGAATTGACCTCTTTATCTATTTTCTCAATTAAATACAAGCGTCGAGCTCCTGTAAATGCATTTTCTCGGCAAATTGTTATAGATATACAAAGAAGCAAAGCATCAAATTTTCACCTCTCGTACTATTATAATCTCTGTATTATATCAGTAGTATTTAATTGAAACAAACCATTCATATTTAAATGCCGTATAAATATGTAACCATAACGTTTATTTATATTTATTTTTTTTTGTTGCTATAAAAAAACTAAAACTCCTGACAAATTTACCTTATCTCAGAGACCATCCCAAATCCTGTGCCTTGTTCTATTTACGTCTTGGAAGTAGATAGTTCTTTTCTCCAACAACTAAGTATATTTTTATAGTCATCGTTTTAAGTAACAGCCGAAGTATTTAATTTGATTTTTAAAATCGTAATCTATTAATTTATGTGATTTTAAACTTTGCGTGACCTATTTACACAAGATCGTATTACGAAAGACGTTTATTTAAAAATAATATTGCTCGTACAAACTTCGTACTTGAGATTATTTTCTTTGATGGATAATTGTCCGTTCTGCTATAGAAAAATCATGAGCTCTAAACTAACCATACTGATTTATATTTCTATAACCCCTCACAGTTGGTACATTCTGTACAGTCTCGTAATATTGCTTAAAAAAGTAATTATTATATATATGATGCTAATAATTAAATCTTTCCAAATGATATCGTTATTGAGAAAAACTTTTAACTCTTTGAGATAAGCTATATAACTTCGTAGCATTTTTAAAGTATAACCCACACCCTTGGCTTTCAAATGACCCGACTTACTAAACTTAGAACGATACGTTCCAATTTTAAATTCCTACATTTAGCTGAAAAGTGCTGCAATCAAAGACGCAGATATTATGTTTTCCTTCTTAAATACTGTATTTTTCGTATATTTTTATGTGGCTATCGATCTGTTTGTATGAAAGGTTTGCATGGTTTTGTATCGGACTAGACCATTTTATAATATTTCTATTGATTTTGTTCTTCGTATTGTTTATTCAGTAACTAAATTCCCAACATTGAATTTGTATGTATATATATAAGAAATAAATTAATCTTGAGACCCAATCTCTCATCTTTATCGTACGATTTCTATGTGTAAATTCATATAAAAGTTTTTAATCTTAAAGATAAATATCTATAAGAATATTCATCGGTTTAAAAGAAATATGAATGCATTATTTATGTTATAATGCTTTATTGTTATTGATTATTCAAGTCCAGAGGATTAAACAAATTATAAACTTTAAATTACAGGATTTACCTGACAGGCTGCATTGTAAATAAATTTTTTGTTAAACAAAGGCTTTGTGTTAACATATGCAGGAAAAAAAAACATTTATATTCATAAAACGAAATTTTTTTTAAAAATTTATTTAATTTTCTCTCATAATTAATGAAAGGGCGTTAATGAAGGGCTGTTAAATTTTCAATGCAAATCTTGTTTAAAATAAATTAAAGACTCAATTCTAAGTTTTTGTTCCTGGATATTGCGATATCAGGCGTAAATAACAATTATTTTCTATGACGTATTACATCATTAGCGGTAAAACGACATGTTGTTAATCCACATAACGAGAAAATATAAACGATTTTGTTACGAAAGACTCGATGTTTTTGCCTAGTTTTGTGAACTGAAATAACTTTATTATTCTTATTTTAATATATGTTTTAATAAATATTTAAAAAATAAATAAGCTGAATGAACAACAATGCATTAATGCGTCATACCGTGATTTGTCCGGATTCGAATACAATTCAGACTATTTGATTTTGCATGGGTAATTTAATCCATGAAGAATCAAAGGGTATAAATTGTAATTCAGGTCGAGACCTCGTTCCTCATTCTTCACTCACATCGGCGGACCAGACTGCGAATCAGGCCTGCTCCTAACGAAAATAAATTGGGGCCAGCCATATTAAAACTGTGGATCGTTTTTAAAACTTTTTACATCATTTATTATATTAAAAGTTAATAACAAACTATATATATACAATAGAAAAATCAAAACAATTTGACAATAATCAAATATTTTTTAAAAAATAGTTTAAAGTATGATACTGATAATTAGATTATTAATAAATGGAATGAATGAGAAAGAAAAGGATTTTTAAAAATTCGAGTAATCCAGCAAAATAATACACCACGTTAATTGGTGTCGGTTGTCGTCGTTATTGTGATGATTTTATTTTATTTTTTCGTGCAATTACAAAAAATATCACTTATAAACGATAAAAATTCCTAATGCGTGTGTATTATTTCAAGCGAAATTATTGCAAACATTAGAGACAATTTCTGCGAATATTGAAAGAAAAATAAAAAAATAGTGAAATACATTTTATCACCACTTAAAAAATTTCTAGGGATTGAATAAGTCTTCTAGGAAGTGATCTTTTTATAAATCACATTCCTTGCTAGATATCTAATTACGCTGTCGTCTAATCCACAATAAATCACTAATAGACGCTTTTTAAGCTCTTGGATTGTTAAGTAATTAATATTGTTAGATTTTATAATGGTTGTAAGGATCAAGTAATCCTTCATTCTCGTTCTTAACATTTTATATTTAACACAATGTTGTATATTTATGTTACAAGTAAATTTTTCTAAAATACCGACTTTCTTACATATTTTTAAACCTAAATTCCTAATATATTTCGAACATACATTCTTAATTCAGCATACTTAAGTGTGCTGAGCGTTAGGAATAATTTCCGACTGAAGTATAGATCGATAAACAGCGTTAAGCTCCGTTTTTATTTCGTTTTCTTTTTAGTGTTATCATTAGAAAATTTAGTGTCTATTGTTAGAATTTCGTCGAGACTATACAATCCGGTTGTAATATAAACATTTTATTTATTTTTAATATCGATAAGACGTAGAAATTATCAAATTCATTACCGATCGAGATATATTCATTTTTATAATAGTGATCGGTTGATCGTAATGATTGTATTTGGATGAGTTTACGGATTAGTATTTATTTTCACCTGATGCTGCATAATGCGACCTTGGCACTATTCTCATAGAAACCACAATGGATATAAACGTACTTTACTCTGAAACGACGTCATGTTCAATATGCATGAACACTGGAAATGATCCAATCCGAGGAGAATTTTTGAATCAATGAAACACGTGTTTTTTTTATTTTTATTTTATTATTGTTCTACAACTTAATACACGTGAATGGCGAATCATATCTCGAATTGCATGATTTGATTCTTTCAACTGTGTAAATAAATAAATGACGTTTTAAGAAAATATACTTATGATGTCATTTTGTAAAAATAGATGGACTAACTCATCATCCTTTTAAGAAAAATTCTCTCAAATTCCATTAAGATTGGATATAATATTATTATTATCAAAAATAGTTAGAAGAAAGTGTTTTTGCTTCTATTAAATTTTAAAGATAATCCTGTTACGTTGTAAAATTTTAAACGAATTCTATTCGAAGTTAACAATTTTTATGTGTAAAATATCGTGCTTTTTGCTTAGATCATAAGAAAAAGTTGTTAGATTTTTGAGTGGTAAATTTTTATATATTAATATTTGGACGTAGAAAATCATTTTCAAGGTTGAGTTGTACTTTTATGTATGTCAGCCAACCTTTCGTGTTTGGCGGTAAAATCAGCCGATCTCGGTTTATATGCCGGAAGAGATGAGCTTGATTGACAGTTTTAGTAACAATACACCAGATGGTGATGACGATTGTGTTATTTTTAGGGATATCAAGAGTATACATCTTCAAAAGGAAAATTTTATTTTATTTTTTCTTAACAAATTTATTTAAAAAATCTTACTTTTTAACAGAAATTTAATCGAATATACGATATCTGCCCCTTAGACTGTAAATATTGTTGTGATAATGTAAAGTGGATTTAATTGTTTTAAACAAAAACAGTTTAAAATTAAATATATCATTTTAAAATAATGTGTAGGAGGTATGTTTATGCAGCATTTCTTTTTAATTTTATAATGCATTCGTACAATTTAATAGATTTTATGCTTATCATTATTCAAAATTGTTTATATTAAATTAGATATTCGCAGCATACATAATTTTTTATTTTGCTAAGGAATTGTGTTTGTTGAATAAAGATTTGTAAACAGTTAGCACGATACTAAAGAGGAAAGAGGTAAAAACTTAATAATTAACACTTATGAAGAAATCAAATATTTGTTGTCTTCATTATAAAGTTAATTTTAATGGAAATAAAACGTATTTTTCAGCTTTGTAATCTGCTCAATATTTAATTTAGTTTTAAACGAGATTGTAATTAAAAGTTATTTAGAATTAAAATGCTTAACGGGGATTATAGAATTTCGTCGAAAGTCAATAACAAGACAACTTAGTAAGTTGGTTAGAGTGATTTGTTTTTCTTTTTTATTTCTATTTGTTTCAGGGACATACCAAGGACAATGGATGAGAGGCATGAGGCACGGATACGGAGTGAGAACCAGTGCGAATTTCGGTCTGGCGTCGCATCATCGACAGAAGGCGACGACGGGTACATCTTTGTCATCACTTCCGACCGAACCCGTTGTGGACGTCACAAGCGACAGAGACAGAAAAATGGACGATTTTCGAGGAGGTTTCGTTTTAAAATCTCGTAGCGACGAACCTCCGGCGAGAAGACGTTCCTTGGTCGAAAAATCGACCAATTTTAAAAAATCGATACTACAGGTGAATTAGTAAAGTAAACATTTTAAAAAATGTGTTAAATTGCATATTTGAGCTATTTAAAAAAAATATATTTTTTTTAAACTACCCAAAAAAAACAGTTTTTATAATAGATGTTTTTTAAAGATTTAATGAGCGTAATTTTCAACGATGATAATCGAATTAGGGACTTTCCTGAGTGAAGTATTGAAACTTGTTAACAATAACTTTCTGAGCATCGCTTCGTTCTCAGTCACTGGATATAAAAAGAATTGGATCTAACCCAAGCATACTAGGAATTCATAGTTGCCAATAGTTCCTAGTCCATAAGTTCTGTGTCGTCGCTGACACAGCGTTCGCCCGGAATATTTCGAAACAATAACTTTTGTTTATATAGTACTTGTAAACCTAAAAAATTTTTATAATGGAGATCGGTTTCTTTCTTCTAAATCTGGATTGCTGAAATCGACCAAACGCTCGTCTAATCGCCGCATAACATTTAATCGAAAACGTTTATTATTTAGATTGTTAAATAAAAAATTAACTAGATTTTTGAAGCGCAAAAAACAGTTTTGTTTGGCTAGATGAAAGTAGGAAATTGCGTTTATGTCCACTCTTGAAAACGAATGCATCATAAATTGTCGTCAAATGATGATAAATGTGTCGTAAAAGAAACTCTGTAGGAAAATTAAATTTACTCTTACCCTACTTAATCTGATGAATAAGTCAATTAGAAAGATTTACAGAAAGACTTATGTTTGGTAGTTAAATTATTAAAACCAATTTTCCAACTTTAAAATCGAGCATCTTCATTTATATTCATTAAATTGGCACTTACATAATTTATATAAATCTGTCTAGATAAACAAAACTTCGGATTAGAATTGCTTTTTTAATGTAAATTTGTTATGCATCTGTTTTAATTCGTTTTCGTATCATTATATGCATATAGTTATATTATTCCTAGTCAGTTTAGCATTAATTAAATTACAGATTTATTTCCTTTAGGATAGAATGTACATCATTAGCGGCATAAATGAACAATTATAATTCGGAACAGTATTATGTTTTGATGGTAGCTTCCTGATGCATATTCATTAGTATCTGCTGTTTCCTATATCGAATGTTGTTGACAGAATCTTTATTCTGTTCTGGATCACGTCTCAACGAACTGTAACAAAAGATCACGTCTGGTCTTTTTCAGTTTTTCTTTTTTCCAGTGGTTTTTTTATATATATATAGGCCTATATATTGGTGTCTCATCCAGAAGAGAACATGTTATTGTTATGGAGAAATAGTTTTGGCTTTTCTGGAATAAAGCCAAGACAGAATTACCAACAGTGCACGTGCACTGTCCATTTTTCGTTTTTCAAAGTTCTCCATTTTGAATTTTTGTCTACTTGGATGTTTGCAAATATTTTGATAATTAAAAATTGGTAAATAATTTATTTCACCTAAAATTTGATTATAATTAGAATCTGTTCCTAACAAAGTTAATAAATCTTATTTGTAAAAATTCTTCCATGTAAATTATCTTGAAAATTCTATTAATTTAGGCTATCTAAATATTTTTTTGTTTTATAAATAAAAGTATTGATTCTATTCTAGTTAGCAGCACTCTTTTAAAAAAAGTGCGTATTTTTCAGTTAACCGTGTTGGAATTTTTTATCCTCTGTTCTTTTCTATTGAATTCTTTTTATTTAACTATTATGATTTTGAATTTAATGAATTAACAAAAACTAAAAGGATGTTGCTTTACTTATCATTTGAAAGTCTGCTCTGATTAAAAAATTATAAACTACTTATTTAAATGAAAAAAGGTCAACTTCTAAATTCTTATAAAATTAAAGTGACATTTCAAGAGCATTTCGATATTTTTAAGTATAAGTGCATCTTGATATAATTACATTACCTATAATTTAATTAAAATTAAAAGTAGCAGTAATGTAGCCTTGACTACAGTAATCAGATTTGACACTTTGTATTTAAAATTTAATCATCTAGTTTTCTTTACTCGGTAGGTTATTTAGTCTAAGGGAACCATCTACCTACTGTAAATATTATTTTCTGATAATTTAATTTTGTTGTAGGGTCTCCGACTAAAGAAACAACGAAGTACCGGCGACATCGATCGACGTGGAGTGAGTTCTGTTAGAAGTTCTGGTTCGAATTTGAGTTCGGCCAGTTCGGAATCTAGTCAGTCTGGCCTAACACAAACATCCGTCCATACAGACAGCAATGCTAGTTTTGTCAGTCAAGATGATATAATAGATTCCAACGTTATCGAAACTTACATGGGAGAATGGAAGAATGACAAGAGATGCGGTTTTGGTATAGCCGAAAGATCCGACGGTTTAAAATACGAAGGGGAATGGTACAACAATAAAAAATATGGTTACGGTGTTACCACGTTGAAAGACGGAACGAGAGAGGAAGGAAAGTACAAAAACAACGTACTGGTGACGTCGGGAAAGAAAAAGCATCTGTTCCTTCTCAGGTCTGCGAAATTTAAGGAAAGAGTAGAAGCAGCCGTTAATGCTTCTATCAGAGCTTCGCAGATTGCATTACAGAAAGCCGATATAGCCATATCTAGGTAATATTAGAAATATAGTGTTATTTACATATATAACTCGGATATGTTTCCGCCTTCTTGATAGCAAAATATTTACAAAACACGAATTGTTTCTTCTCTTTTAGTAAACGGAAGTTTAGATTCGTATCGTTATGTAAGTTTAATGTTTCTTTAAAAACTAAATAGGTCTACATGAGAAAAGGAAAGTTCACACAAAAGAAAAATAAAGAATTTAAAAAACTCGGGGTCATTGATCGCAAATTTTGGCCAACATTTTACGTCTTCTATATTGTAAGAAAATATTTTTAGCGTGTTTCAGATTTATTAAACGCCGATTTCTAAGTAATTTTAACTTAAATTTTTTTAAAAATAAATTATGAATTTTTGTAAGTATTCATATTTTTATATTTATTTATTTAATAGATTAAAGTGAATTTCGAATTTATCTGCTAATTTCTTTTTATTATTTTATGGGTTATTTGTAACCCATAAAATAACCCATTAATTATTTATGTATAAGCTGCTTATTTGAACTTCAGTTTTAACCTTATGAAATAATGTAAAACAGTGTTAAAGTTTATAATTTTTATTCAGAAATAAATATTTATAGCTCTTGAATAGCATAAAACGTGTGTGGAGATGTTAAAAAATCGATTCTGTTTTAAAAATTAATAATAAGATTATGGTATTTGAGGAACTAACTTAGGCTTGGCACAATTCCAGTGAAGATAAAAGATTTATTTTAATATATAATAAGCATTTACTGTGCAATTTTACTTATTAGCATTATTTTGTATAGAATAATCATTGTAATTTTATGGCATTCCAGTCGTTCTAAAGCATTTTAGCTTCTAGGAATGTTATCTCTGTTCGTAATAATAATGTAGATTTCATAAAATTCTAAATTAAATTGTGTTATTATTTTTAAGATAAATTTCAATTTGTTTTAACTGTTGTTGTATATTATTTTAAAAAATTAGGACAGCAACTGCTAGAGGTAAAGCAGAGCAAGCGGATGTTAGTGCACTCCACGCTCGAGAAGATATGGATATTGCCAGACTTGTAGCTAAACAATTTGCACCTGAATTTCATCAACCAGGTATAATCGTTTTTGATTGAATCATATAATATCGGAAGTAATTTTATATTAAAAAAAAGTATTTAAATAATTTAAATTATTTTATAAACTACTGAAAATCATGTGCATTACTATTGCTGTTTACATATACCGGTAAAAATTGTGAAATTCTTATGTATATTTTAGTTACTTTTATAATTTAACAATAAATCATTCAAAATTTGTGGAAATGTTTAGAGCCATTTATAAGTTAAAAATATATTTAAAGAATTATCTCGCGCTTATCACTTTCGTAAGTATTTAATGTATAATTTTAGATTGATTTTCTCATTTTTGTTAATTTTAGGTACTGATGCTCTGAAACGGAAACTGAATGAAAGTCGCGAGCCTTCGGAGGCTAGACATCACATTCCTGCTAGAGAACAAACTCCAATCCTTCAACACCAACATTATCCTCCGACGCCTCATCAATATTCTAATCAACACCTCTCTCAAGTACCTCATCAATATTCTAATCAACATCAGTCACAACTTCACTATCCCAATCAACATCATACTCAAGTACCTAACCAGTACTCAAATCAGCTTCAAACTCAAGTACCAAATCAAAACCAAGTACACAACCAATATCCCAATCAATCGACGCACCATTTCCAACGCAATAGACCTTCGTATTTACAAGCAACAAGGGAGAGCAGGTATGGAATAAGTAGTCTGGAAAAGCCAACAATTAATCATCCAGATATCCCTCAGAAAAATGTGAATGTGAACTATTTAGATCCTTTAAATTCGAATAAACAGGACCAAGCACGAATCGATCCTTCAGAAAGAATTCAGCCTCCAGGATCGGTGCGCAGAAATCCTAGTTACCGTGCTGCAGCTGGAGATCCCCATTATACTATCCAACAAGCCCTCAATGATCATTTCGATCATTATCAATACGATGCCAAGCAACAAGGTACTAGAAAACCCCGCGCCATTCCTTCTTCACCTATAAAACTCGCCACTAGTGCCATTCCCTCGCAAAGACAAGGTACCGGTTACGGTGCTGATTGTACTCCAGATTCTGGTGTATCCGAAAGTATGGACAATGAAGAATCCTCACCATTGCGTAGACGTATCAATGTGCCTCAACATATGTATACAGAAGCTCAATCCAGTCTGTTGAGTGTTGCACCTAGTGATATCAGCGATCGGGGTAGCACACCTAGCCTGATTAGTAATGCACAACAAGTTCATGAAGAGGATATACAACAGAATTTTACCCCACTTACCGGACCTCAAAGGACAGCATCCTTGTATATTAAGCCCCCTAGCAAAATAAAACCTCCGCCACAAGCAGTTCCCGCCAATAACGTTTCGGCGCTAAAACGAAAGAAAAGTCTTCCAAATATTGCAAAACCTACTGAGAAATTGAAAGTTATGCCTCGAGAAGAGGTATCTGTTCTTAGTTCGATAAGAAGAGAAGAAATGAGAAAAGAACAAGCAACTGCTGAAAGATTGCGTTCTAATCCGTTGTTATACCTTGTCAATCCTGACGTTAAGGTAAGTAATTTATGCAATAAAAAAAACTATATGTATATACGTCAATGTATATACATACAATGTTCAATAAGTCGTGATTTCGATTTCAGGTTAGCGTCTCTTAGGGTCGATTACCAATAATATAAATTGAATTTTTACTACCGCCATCTATTGTATAAAATATAAATCAAAAACTAACGTCGTCTATTAGTATAAACGTAAATAAAGAAATATAGGGCACTTAGGTCTATATTATTAAGAGTAATTCGCGTTAAAAATTCGGATAATTGTTTTCTTTATTAGAAACGTATTTTAACGAGTTTAAATCGTTTCGGATTCGGCAACGCGATCTGGGAAGCATGCCATGGCCAAATTAGTACATGAGAAACGCAATTTTAGTCTGCGAATAGCTACTGTAAATCGACTGTTCGCTCCTGGTGAGACGGACACGTCCCAATCGCCTTAGAAGGGTGGTTGACGATATTGCGAGGGGTAAATGTTTCAGGTGATAAGAAAGACATTTCAGAAAGAGACGGAGAGCATCTCGCTATCTTCGCTATAGTAGCTCACCACTTAATGCAATGTGTTCGAGATATTTACGATATCCTGCTTTAGTTTGGAATACTTCGATATTTAAAGAATACATCGCCAACTTTTATGAAACTATACAACTTGATTGATCACTCTTTTCGATCTGGTATCAGGTGTTATTGCTCCCTACTGCAAATATCGTAGTAAGTGGCGACATCTGTTGAGGAAAAAAAACATCAAGATGTACGGTACGCGGTAATCAATCAGTGACTCGCAGTGTCGGTAACATTAAAAATATATTATGATGTCAGTCTCACTTAACTGGAATTTTTCTTAGCAGTGTTATTGACCTTTAAAAAATGAATGTATGTGTTGTGTCCAAAAAAAAGAAAAAAACATTAAATTTCATTTTAGTACGAATTTAATATTAGGCCTATATATTTAGCGTAATTATATTATATATGAAATAAATGTATTTGGTTGTAATAATTAATATATATATGATCTTTTTTCTCTCTTTAATAGGATTGGTTCTCCAGACAGCAGCTGGTTATGCTGGTGTTATTTGTCAATATTAGTTTAGCTATTATGTTTTTCAAACTTCTAACTTAGCCATCCCAGATTTTGGAGCTGGATTCTTCAATAAAGATTAAAGAAAAGAGTCGGTTATATTCGAGAAGTTGATCACCCTGTAATGCCAATCATGTGCATCAATTTTTCCATTCTATGTATAAATCTAGGTGGTTAACATCAAACTCCTCGAATATTGTATATGAGGTTTTTTATAAATTGCTGGCTCTTGAAATTTTTGAGAGTGAAACATTTTTAAGTTACAGACTGTACAGTTTGTTGCCTTTTTTGTCTGTATATTTCTCCCCCCTCTGTTAAATTTGCATTTTAAAATTTGTGATGATCAGATTGGTGATGAAATAAAAAGATTTTCCTATTATAATATTGTTAGAAATTACAGCTATTCCTAAAAAATTTGCAGTTATATTCCCAAATACGTCCAATATGGGAGAAAACAAGAATATTTGTACTATGACTGTGATCACGTGGGACATATCTTATGATGTTATTGGGTAAGGGAAAGTGTCTTTTTGTTAACTGAGTACAAGCAGTGCCACTTTTTATTAGTTAATGAATGATATTACTGCCAAAATTTCAGCTGTAATTGTTGCTATTATAATGTATGATATAAATCAAATCATTTAAAATCAAAACTCTGTATTCCTGCTTGATATGTCGCTTGTCTTTGTGTTTTTCTAATTGCATGGAATGTTGCAGCAAGTGTGACAACCCTTCTGGAATTCAAAAAGCTTCTGTGTAGCAAATACAATTGTCAGAAATTTTGTCAACAGAAATATTATTTGAAAGCCATTATGAAATGCAATATATACATATATATACATCATCAGTAACAATATTGCACATTTCCATTATGTGTCATTTGTTTTTTCTTTTTAGCATATGTTATGATTCGTACCAGGAAAATTTGTGCAAAAGTATTTTTAAAAAGAAAATAATATATTATAAATATAAAATATATACTTGTGTATGTATACCTTTTAAAACTTTTCTAAATGCATCACTAAAATGTTACAAACTGTACACTGTACTTTAAATTATTTAAATTTGATCAAATTAGAAAAATGTGTAGTTTATTTGATTTATATAGTAGTTATATATTTTCTGTATCCTTCCATTCTGTATCAAAACTATTGCATGTCTAAAATTATGTCCGAATTTATTATGGATGGATGTGTCAGTGAGCATAAAAACTGCTAGAAATTTTTATATCTTTCAGTGAAACTGAACTATTTCTTCATATTTCCATAATTATCTAAAATCTTACTATAAATTTCTCCTTGTACAGTGATATTTATACACTGTTAATAATGTGCTACAGATCTCTATTAATAGAGTTTTGTGTGATGAGAATAAATTGCACATTTCAGTTTTTTTTTGTTTTGATTTTCATATTTCCTTAAAAGAAGTATAACAGTGATTTACCTGTATTTATATAAAGCAATGTTTAAAATATCTCAATCTAAAAATTTCATGAAATATAAAGAAGTCAATACACAATATAGGTTAATAATACACAAATACATTACAAAGATTATTCATTAAAAATTTTCGAATGATTATGCGATTATATATATAATATTATTTAAGATGAAGACGTTTGAAAACTTTTTATTTTTATAGCACTTTATACAGTAAAACTTTTAATATAATGTTATTAATAATTCTAATTACAATCAAAATTTCAGCAATTTTTGCTATGATTTAAATGTTTCAAAATTATTTTTGTTTAAAGCTGTAATTTCTCAAATGTTAGGGCAATGTGGTATTATGCAAGATATATTCTGCTATTATATCTCTATGTGATTAACAAAAGTATATTTTGGGATTCTTCCTACTTCAGGTCATCAGTAATGTCCTTAGTTCAGCACATTGTAAAATGCGTATTGCCAGATGCCAGACAGCAATCTATGTGTTATACATATACTGAGTCTACTGTGAACTGATTTGGCAATTATCCTAACAGTTTTCGATAAATTAGAGCATCTGGAGATGAGTTTTAGACAAACGTTTCATAAACATCAACGAATGTTAAAAATATATTTAAAGAAATAATTTAAAATATACTTTTCGATATAAATAACGATAAAAGTTTTTATGCTAATGATTTCCAACCATACTCATATTTTCATTTGAAAACTTTTTCTAATGTAACGTGTAACATCTTACAGATTAAACTCTCCCAATGAATTCTTCCTTATCAACGAATGACCTTTAATGTCATTTAGACGAAAATGTAGGTTTGTTAAAATAATGAAACAAAACTGAGAAATATATATGGAAACAGCATTCACAATATTTTTATTTAGTACAAACCTTTTCATAAATAATTTCTAAAATTTTAAGTTTTTGAAATTTTTAGTCGTCAAAATAATAATAAAATCCTAAAGTTACTATCGCGAACATTTCACAAATTGACGTAAGTTGTACACGTCTCTAATGTTAGATGCTAATACAGCCAAACACTATTAATACAAAATTGAAGAGACTTAAAAGTTGACACTTCGTTTTAAGCAAACTTTACGAAAAGAAAAAAATCAACGGTCAAATGGCAAAAGATAACTTTTTCACTACGTTTTATCTTGCTCTGATATGTTTAAAAAAGGCTCACTAGCGTTCGAGCGTAACACCTGCACTGCTATGTTGGTCGTGAGTTCGCGCCTCGCCAACGGATTCAGGGATTCTTTTAGCATTTGTAACACCTAAACAGGAACCAGTTTCCGTAAAAAGTCCTCTCTGGAGTCATCCCCTCGGCAAATAGCCCACCTGTCATGTTGCCCTATACAAACTAAATAGATAATGTTTAAAAAATAAATTCATTTGTTGCTCCAAACATGCTCTTTATTGAGATACAGGAGTTTGAAGAAAGCAGTCGCTGTAATGACTAGAAATGTGCATCCAATGCACATTTCTGCAGTAACTTAAAGAATCAATGCTCGTTTTTCACCATCAGTTAAGAGTCGATAGAACGACAATTAAAGTTGCTGAATATAATAGGCCGACCTAGCAGCCAAATTGAATCTGGGAGCTGGATACGCGTGAAACTACATATTTAAAAATAACTTGCTTTCATTTTAAAATTACGAACTAGTTTATATTGTAATTCAGTTTTTTCGTTATTTCCTTTATTAAAGTAATTAAAAATGAGAACTGTTTCGTAATACTTTCGGTTTTCAGTGCGAATGCCAATTGTCTTAGTAATCGTTCAACGTTGTTACAGCAAAGCGCGGATTATAAGTGAAAGCAGGACCGAACTGGTCATTTGGTAAATGCCAGAGAGTCCGGTTAACACGAAGCTGCAGTTATATAAAAAATGGATAATTTTAGAAACCTATTAGAAATGTATTTTATATAAAATTTTAAGCATATTGTGCTTAAAATTTTTATATAACGAGGAACGTAATAGTTGCCAGAGAAAGCGGATTAATCGGCCGCTTTTACAAATTCGAAGCAATTCGGAAAGCGGAGAAAGGACCAAAAAAGAGGAGAGAACCACTTTGGAGTGTCTTTTTCGACACTGTCCACGTGGTTAAAAAATAGCTACAAAATCGAAAGTGCCGCATAATCCGATGCAAACGTACGCGAAAAGAAATGTTTGCAGACTTAAATCAACTGCATTTACACACTGAATGTTGAATTCTGCTGCGCGACGAGAGAGAAACTCACAATTTCTTTGGCAGGAGTATCTGGGTAACTCGAAATTTTTTAATTCGAAGACGAAACTTTTTGACGGACGATTTCGAATTAACAATGTTGCACTGTATTTAAATTAACCTACTGTAATTACTTAGTTTTATTTTTTCTTTTAATCCAATGAGGGGTTTTTAGAGGGCCAGTTTTTTATACGATGCCAGGGCCGAATTTTGTTTAGTCCGCCGTGAGAGAGTGAGGTTTATTCATTTTACGTAAACTGCCACGTGATAATTTGTAAACAAGGTGGCTGTTAGCACTTATAAATCTTATAAGTATAACGTTCGTAAAAATTGAAGTCAGTATTAAAAAAATACAGTATGTTAATATAAAGGAAAGTAAGGTAATGACGCTCACTCAAATATCTCGAAATAGAATGGAATTAGAAACGTCTGATTGGTATTGCCACCTACAAAAAAATTATTTTATTTCTCCAGTAAACAAATTGCTACTTTTAGAATCAACGTTTTCGTATTTCGTTTTAGTGTTATTTTTACTTTGTTTTTAAAATAAAATTTTATATTATTTCAATTAAAGGTACCGTAAACCTTTTCAGAATATACTTAGCCCGCCGGCGTATACAGTATAAGATGTCATACCATCTCGTGTTAAACCATGTCGTGTTAAATCGACTGAAATTTATCGCCAATTGACGGAACTGTATGGCGAGTTGTCCATGGATGTCCGCACGTGATGTAGGGAGTTTGCATCTGGTCGTACTGAAATTCACGACGAAGAAAGAAGCGGGACAGTCAATTTCCAACGAGACATTCGCGAAGGTTGAGCAAACCATGCGTGGAGATCGGCAGATCACTCTGGATGATCTCTGCATTTGGTTCCTGGGAGTTTCTCGAAGCACCATTCATAGGATTTTAATGGGAAAGTTGCAATATCGGAAAGTATGCGCAAGATAGGTTTCGGGAATGGCGGCTAGCTGTTATGACATGGGCATACAAAAACTGCCACAGCACCTACAAAAATACATCAACAGAAAAAGTGTTTATGAAGAAAAATAGATAAATGTTCGAGTTTTAAAGTGATAAAAACATTATTGAAAATAAATAAAAATAATTTTTTTAGAAACACAAAGAAACTTTGTATTTCTAAAAAAGTAGCAGACCTTACTTTTGGGATTACCCACGTACAGTACGTTTCATGAATTTTTCTAGCTGCTGCATTCTGCTAGCTGTGAACAGACAGACGGACGGCCGAACGGTCAAGGTGGTAGCCTACCGCTCTGGGGACCCGGGATCGATCCGGGTGGGTCAAGGAATCCCCATAATTTTTCGGGAAGTGGTCTGTTCTGAAATGTCTGGCCCGTCCCTCACCACCCGGTCTCCCCATTGTGGTCCTGGCCGAACCCACAATGGGCCTGCCATAAAGGCCCTCTTAGTGCCCACAGGGAGGAAAGAGTATTAAAAAACTAGCTGTGAACACTGCATTTTGTTTATCACTTTCATCTAATTATTTAGGTGGACGTTCTTGCCTTGTTTATCACCATCCGTCTAGAGACACGGATGTGGCAGCTTGCGTAATAGTGTATTTTTTTTTTGTTGCTCACATATCCACTGCAGAACCTTTTCTTATAATTGTTTGCTGATCTTGCGCACTTCTCCTGCTGGCGTCTTTCCTTCAGTCTTAGAGCCTGTACACACTAGGCGTTTTTCAACGCGCGCTTAACGCCGAGCTAACGCGCGTTGGCTCGGCGTTCGACGAGCGTTAGTTCGGCGTTAGCACTGGCTCAGTTTGGAAATGGACGTGAAAGTAATTGATTGTGTGTGCTCCTCCATCGTCGCTATAAAAGACGATGGCAGACACAAAGAGAATTTTGGGTGCACCCAATCGCGCGTTTTAATTAAGAAAAATCTATAAACGCGCGTTTAACGCGCGCTTGGCCAAAAGCGCGCGTTTGAGTGTGTACGGCTACATAGAACTCTTGGTTCTTTAAAACGCGCGTTTAAAAGCGCGCGTTTAACGCGCGTTGAAAAACGCCTAGTGTGTACACAGCCTTATTCTTGATAGTCTTAAGCGTGTCATGCTTACTCCTTCACTTGAGAATTCGCTTCGGAAGAACTTTGACTGTCTGCGCTGCTGCTTCTCCAAAGTATTATATTGCGTACGCGACTGCGTTCAATTTGAAGGCAGCGCTATAAGACTTCTTGGTTGCCATTCCGATCAATGCCTATTCATTGATCTGTGTAAAATGAAGACAACGTTATCTCTAGAAAACTATTCAAGAGTTAATCTTTGTGCGATTATAACTGTGTTTATCAAAATGTACAATTACACTTGTTTGTCATTCCTTCGGGTTTGAAGAAATTGAATTAAGTTATTAAAATGGTCTGATAATGAACATAATTTAAATGCTAAAGAGAATGGCAGTCTTATGATTAGTTTTTTATAATGTAATTACTAAGCTTATTTTGTATAAAAGTTTATTCTATTTGCCTTAGTATTTGGTTATCTGTAGAAAGAAGAAAAGAGATGAAAAGAGAAGAAAGGAATAAGGAAACGTAAAAGAAAGCAAAATGTGAAAAGAAGAAAGGAAGTTGAGATCTTATGCGGTGAAACTTTATTAGAAACTTAAACATAGAATGCAAAGTTAATAAAATGAGAACAAAAATATTGTATATTATCTACATAACTTAGTATATATATTTTGTTCTACTTTTATCACTGACAAGTTGCACCTGTACTCAGCAGCCAAACAATATAATGTGAAATTCTTTACATTAGTAAGCCATCATTAGTTCCGATGCTGTTATAGGTGTTTGTCATAAGTCATACAATTTTGAGTTTTACAGAAGTTAGCAAAAATTAGATTGAGCTTTTCGTGAAGTTCGTTCTTTGCACTTCCTGGGTTGGGACGTGGTTGAGGGTTTTGACTCTACCATATCATCGCTTGGATGAAGCCCCTCATATTCTGTTTCTTGTACATTGGACTAGAACGTACTCGTGACAATAAACCTAGAATTTCTGTCTGAAATGTTTTCTTATTGCTCTTTGGACTATCTAGTTATAGGAGTCTGTGCGCTCTTAAATACAGAAAATCCAGACAGAAACGGCTTGTTATTTATTTATGTCGGCTATGCCAAAACGGCTTGGCCTTGTATGGTCTATGCCAAAGCATGGCAGCAGTGGGAATATTTATTGTATTTTTCACGCAATCGTGCAATTCAGTACCAGAAGAACATATTTTTGACATAGCTATGTCAAAAGACATTTCTAAGGTTTATCGGGAAGAGTCATCCCGAGTCAGACCTTGTATCAACCCGACTGCCCGCTGGAAGTTGGCTGAGTCCAAGATGGATGTGAAAAAAGTCTTCTTGGTTCCCACAGACACAGGATAGAAAGAGTAAAAAAATTATTTAAATCTCTTAGATCCTGCCTCGTGGAAGAAGGTGCTGTTATTCCCTATCTAGAATCTCGTAAAGACATAACGTTTGTTACTTGTATAGATCAACATTACTGTACTTATGTCTGTCTACTGCTCAACAGCATGAGACCACAATTGTAAGACGATGCCATTTTTGTTCTGAATATCGTTATAATTTATTATTCAACTGAATATAGTTCTCTATCGTCGTTCAAAATAAAAAAATTAAAAACCAAAAGGACAATCCGCAGTATTAAGTCTCCCTTCCTTGATGAAACTTAAAATAATCTGTAGGCTTATCTATTAAATTGAAAATAACTGACAATAGAGAATCGCGTTCGTTTCATTAACAGATGTGCTCTAGCAGACGAACTCCCGCTTACGCCCCCTCTCGGCGAAAAAGTTTAATAAATTATATAATTTTTACAAAAGCATCAAATCTCCGGCAACAGTTTTACAATTTTAATAAAAATATTCCTGAAAAAAGCAACTATAAACACGCGAACCAAATGAGCATCGTGAGGAAAGAACAATAATTATTCCACAATAAAGATACTTGTTACGGAAAAGGCAACAAGTATCAAGTATCGCGTCTACCAATAGGGAAAAGAGTAATAGATAAAAATGTTAAAATCGAGAGTCCTACTGAATACTTTAAATAAACCTGATACTTTTATAATACTGAATACTTTAAATAAACCTGAATACTTTAAATAAACCTGATAAATAAACTTGCCTTTGGTGCAGTATAGCCATGAAAATCTAGCACCATTAAAAACTAAATCAATTAATAAAATAAGTTAATTTTCTTGTATATAATTCCTTTAAAAATATTCAATTAAAATGTCTTGTTTCCTATATATATAGACTATATACACATTATTTTATACATTCTTATACATATATTATACTCTTATACATTATTTAATTGATTCGATAAAAAAAATGAATAATAATGCCCAACATATTTTATTGATAAATGATTCTAAACGATTACAACTGTAGAAACGCGCATCATTGATCAATATGTATTTATTGATTGAAATTGTTAAATGAATTCAATCCGTTGTATTTTACATGATTTGTATCATCGTTTGATGATCGAATGTTTTGAAATAATACGAAATTCCTATTTAATTTTTCATCGTTCTTATATACGAAAATTTCCACAAAAGGATGTAAAAGTATTTTCAATTTTAAATTTTTTCATATTCTAAAAATTACTTTTAAACATTTAAAAAATAGATCATTAATATATTATTCAGATCACCTCTCAATGAATTTTTAAATTTCCAGCTGTATTTTTGCTATAGATCTTTTAAAAGTTAAGTAGAAATCTGTATTTATTGATAGTTATTTAGAACAAATGAACACATTATCTCAAATGTTCGAACTCTTCGCAAAAATTAGCTTCCAGGTCTGCTGTAGACATCATCGAGCATTTTCAAACAGAAGTACAAATATCCATCAATGTGCTAGGAGATCGTTGCAAATTTTTCTACTATTGAAGAAAAATGTACAACTTTGAAACACTCGGAGACCGAGACCTAACTCTAACTCTCTACTATACCATATTTCATCTTCTAGGTAACCTCACGAAGTAAGTTAAGTGGAATTAATTAAGGTAAACGCGAAGGTTACTTAATTTAATATTACAACTTTCTTCGAGCCATCTGTCAGCAAGCTCGAGGTCAACAGCGATTAGTTTGAACATTTGAAATTAAATTATTATAAAGAAGTTCGTTAATCAGTCACCCGATAGTCTGAAATTGCCGATAATGATCCAGCTTGCTAGTATTCCGAGAATCGGAGTTAGTTTGGACACCTAATACGCTAAAATCCCCTAGCCGTGATACAATACATGCCTGGAAAATAAATTTTATATGCGTACGTATTGTGAATGTTGATTTTGTATAATAATTTGTTCATTAGCGTTTATACAAGTTTTTCAATGTTAACACAGACTAATCTTAATTAACATCCACATTATCTTTAAACTGATTAAAGAGCATACGTAAACAAATCGGAAGCAACATGCGCCGATCAGCTACGTACGCTGGTACAACGTATGCTCGTCCTGAAAACATAACACAAATTTGTTGCAAACTTATGTTTGTACTTGTCGTATGTATATAAAATTTTCCTTATTTTACTGCTTATACTATTTAGACACATTTATAAAATAAAAAAGCTAAAGGAAAAATAGAATAATTAATTTAATTTCAATTTATATATTTTTTAGAAAATAATAAAATGGCAAAAATTTTATTGTCGTTTTATTACTTTATTCTAACTACCATTAATTTGAAGTTTTATTTTTTAAAATTATTACTAAATTAACAAAAAATAAAGAAATTAGAGAGATGGTTATCTAAAAGTACAATAATAAATTTTTGTTTAGGCCTGAAGGTTTAGTAATTTTTCAAAGATTTTTCCTGGATATACAAATGATATTCAAGCGTAAAATGTATGTAAAGTACTGTACTTAGGACGTGACCTTGACACGTTGATTGTAACCTTATTTACTGTTAAGATTTTTACAATGTAGCAGCACAGTTGCAATGTAGCAACTGTGCTGCTAGTCTTCCTTTATTTTAAGCAACTCAATTACAGGATTAATTTTGATTTAAAAAAAAAAAAACAGTAAAAATTATTATCTTTAGGTGCTTTTAAATGTGAGAAAGAAAAGGATTAATACAATCTTGAAATGTGTCTAGATAAAGACATTCATATTGTTGATCACAATAAAACTATGATGAAAATCTCTTACCGGTTTAACAACTATGAATTCAGGCAAAGCAATTTTATTTTTCTTTCTATAGATCATTACTTGTCAGTATTGTTTGTCCATGTCTCGATTTGTCTATATTATATAATGTGTTAAATTTTCTACATTCTTAAAAAAAATTTACGGAATATCTCAATATTAAAATATGCTTAAAATATAGACATATTATATGGTACAAATTAATATTTTATACGTTAAACATTATGTCTTCCATTCTTTACATTTCTGAAACAAAATATTAAAAGATAAAAGAAATATTTTGAATGATTATTCTCATTCTTTGGATTCATTCTTTTGCTGTTTCAATTTAAGTTTTATAATATTAAACAGACATATATGTTATTAAATATTATACTTTTAATTTTTATTTTTTGCTTAAATCTTTTATTTTACAATATAAGTAATTTATTTTCGTATCAATTTACTTTTAAAGCAAATAAATTAAATTATTTTAATATAATATTTTATTTGAATAATAAAACTGAGTATTATATTTCGATTAAAAAATATCGTAATTAACAATTAAACTTAAAATACTAATAATACAGTGGATTTGATTTCCTTTTTTAGGAGCGTTAATATTCTTCTTTAAAATATAAAAACTGGTTAATTTTCATTGTAATTGTTTATTTTATAAGCTATAGACCGATTCTTTATTTTTCTGTTCAATAAAATTTAGAATAAAATTAAAAATATATTTATATATCGACTATAGAAACTAACTAGTGTTTTTTTTTCTTTTTTTTAATAAGAAAATTTATTTTAATTTATAGTATTATTTATTTTTAACAATTAATTATAATTTGATATTTAAATATTCCAGCAAAATCAGACCCAATAAATGTAATGTATGCTAAAAGACATGTTTCCGGGAAAATTTTACTTAATATTTGATATCGCTCATTTGTAATTTTTTATAATTACATAAATTTAAATTGGATTTTGAAATATGCGGATGACATATAGCCTAATTACTGTATTTTACGGCATATAAATCGCAACTTTTATTCAAAAATAATTTTTGGTATTATATATGAAGTTAATATTCATAAATTTACCAAACGGCCTTCAATAAGCTAGAGATAACATCTACCTAGCTCAACTCTTGAATAGAAACTTGTTTTTGTTTAATTAATTAAAAGTATTATTATATTATTTATTATTGTTACTTTTTTAAAATTAGAATATAGTGCCAAAGGCACGGAAATAACTTCTTAAAAACACAAAATATTTATTTAGAGAAAATATTTATTTTATAGTATATAAGACGTACCGGTTCATCTTATATGCCATAAAATACGATACTGTATATTTAATAGTAGCATTAGCCTGAAACTGTTTGAAAATGTTGTTTAAAAATAATCAAATAGAAATAATTAAAGAAAAGATTGCACAATAGGTTGAGATGGTCGATAAGTTTTAGGCTGGAGATGACTACATTGAGGAATAATGTTACTGTAAGTTGTACAGGAAGGTCCACATATCTCCATTCTGTGCAACTGTTGACAACTTTGTCTTAGTTCTTCTACTGTTTTGGGGAGGTCTTTACCCGGAGCTTTACCTATGTAATCAGGTTTCTTTGGATACATGTCATCTCCTAAAAAGAAGCAAATCAGTATATTAGCTAACCAGATAAGCCCGTATTTGTGTAAAATTGGTTTACGTTTTAAACTAAAGTTTAAAATATCGAGTTCTGGCTACACCTAAACTATTGACCTAGTTTTGTAACAACCACTTCCTGAAATGAGCGACTTACCAGATTGGCCGTACTCCCTATTTTAAACTGATATTGATCTATTTTCAAATTATTTAATTATACGGTACATGCATTTTGTATATTAACTAATTTTTCATTCAGTTGCCTTTTGAGATATACTATAAAAAAATCATTATTCTCTAATTTAATTCTCTAATAAAACAAATAGCTGTCTATTACTTGTAATAAATTTGTAACATCTTACACAAAAATAAGAAATAAATAAAACTTGAGAAAACAATCTGATTTTTATTTAATATGATATATAGCCTATAATATACATTATTATATTAAGAAATTAATATAATAATGTTTAGGTCTAATCTATTTTTAATATATGATAAAATAGATATTATTATACATTGTACCTATTTTAATGGGGGTGAGAGTGAAAATTCCTGATAAAATTGTATTCGTTTAATGCAAAACTGAATTTAAATCAGAGCTAAAACTTTTTCCTTTGCGAATTTATAAAGTTATGTTAAACAAGGATAACAGGATTTTTACAGTCGAGACATAAGTAGATGTTACCTGACCTCGCTAACGTACTATTTGGGTCAGATTATTGCACAGAGATCATCCAGATGGAATTTGTTTTGCCCTAGAGTAATTGTCCCGGAACCGTCTGAACATATATGAATGACCTTGTATAAGCGAAGCTACGGAATAGTTCATGTAGACATGCGAATTAAAGCAATTTCCTAATAAAAATAGCAATTTAGACGTTTAGATATTTTTCATTTCCGTTTCATTTTCTTCTTAATTTCCTACAAAGACTTAATAACAATATTTATGTTTCTGTTAATAATATTTTTATTTTCTTTTATCATATTAAATATATAACGATCGTTACCTGGTAAAAGAGAAAGTGCACCATCTTTACATGAACACAAAACTGGAAGCCATCTTTCCACGCCTTTGACAGAACGATATCGAACAAATTTCTGTAGCATTTGGTAATTTTTAAAATGGATTAGCCGAGATAATTCATAAACTTGTGGAGGAGCGAGAAAAGCGGCGTTCACGCAATGTTCTTCCAGAAATTCTTCTGGCGTTCCCCACTAATAAAAAAAAAGCATTACATTAATATAGATGTATAATAACGATTTAAGTTTACTTATTTTCTTCAAATAAAACCAACCCTAAAAGTAATAACTTCATTTTGATCTAATACTACTGAAGGCTGTTTATCCATACAACATATATAAAACATAGTATCGTATCTTTTGTGCCCAACCGAAGTAGGGGTCAACCAATCCCACCATTCGTGAAGAGTCCAAATATCTGGACAGACGTTGGTTTCTAGACAAAAATCAACAAAACTTAATGGATCTTTCCGTATTTTATCTCTCCATCCTTTAATATCGATACCATCTAAAATTGAAGAGGAATCATCGTCGCTTCTAATAGAAGATCTCGTTAAAATAGAAATACCAGTCTCTTCAAATGTTTCTCTAATAGCGGATATTCGTAAAGCAACATCGGGAGGTAGATAATTTTCTGTGTTTTTTATATTAGAATATTTTAAAGTTGAGGATTTAATTATCATATCTGGTCTGGGACCAGTAACTTTGGAACAAAATTTCTCTATATCTTGCTTTGTAATTCCTTGTCGAGAAAAAACTTCCCACCACTTGGGAGAATAATCCTTGATCTCTGCCTTTCCTCCAGGAAATACAAATGCATTAGCCATAAAGGAGCTCAAATTGCTTCTTTTCACCATTAATAACCTATAATCGCATCTCGATTGTCCTGTCGTAGATTTACTGGACGATAAAGCGTTAGCTAAACTAACTCCCACCAATTCTTTCAAGGTTACCCTTGCTGCAATTATGAGCGTTGCAGCCTCCTTCCAAGGAGGAATTTTCTCCATTATCTGAAAAGGAAAATATAGTGCATTATAATAAAATTTTTTCTTTCTTGAATGAAATTTTGTTTACTTTTATATTGCAATAAAAAGTAAAATCGATAAATCTAAATAGTACATTTTTAAAAAGTTTTCACTTAAAATTTTTCTTTCTTTCCTGTTTATTATATTAATATTTTTCTTAACTTTTAAAAGTATTTTTAAATTAGGTAATGTAATTATCAACAGATATGGAATTAAAATACATTAAATAGAGATATTTCTATTTTCTTGTTTTGCTTGCATTTTGATTTAAAAAGAAAAAAAAACATTTAAAAAATTATCAAGCAATGTTACATGTAATGATAAATTAAGTTAAATTTAAAAGTGATTTATAACTTAATTATACATATTATTTTAAATTAAGTAAATATTACATATAAATATTATATTTTAAATTATAGATATAGTTTTTAAACTTATGTCCTTAAGACATAAATTGATATGTATAATATAAAAACGACATATATAATTAATGTATAAAAATTTTAAATATAAGCATCCAAAACAAGGAAATTTAATAAGGAATAAAATTAGTCTCGCTTACCAAATTTTACTTTTGTTTATGATAAACATAAACATAATACTATATAAAAAAATTTTTTTAAATAAATATTTTATATATAATTCTTATACTGTATATATGTTACATAACAATATTAAGAATTTTTTATATTATGTTTACGTTTATCATAAATAAAAGTAAAATTTCAAATGCCAGACTAATTTCATTCCTTATTAAATTTCCTTGTTTTGGATGCATATATTTTAGATTACAGGTGTTTTTTTTAAATATCGTACTGTATTTTAAACAAAAATTTACCTCTTAAAAGTTAAAAACTTAATAGCTTTATAATTAATTAAGAAATAGTTTAGGATTAATTGAATTCATAAAAACTGATCTATTTAAAATATTTATTAGTTATATTTATTTATTATCTCATTTAAAATAGTTTAATATACTGTATATAAATACTAGAATCATCACTATTCTTACCTGTATAAACTTCAGTTAATATTAAAGACCATGGTGACAATTTGTTCGTATATCTTCTGAATAAGGAACTGAAATAACGAGTCTTTCCTTTTCGACTTATCATCGGGTCACAGGTAGTAAGTCTGACGTCACGGTTGCGTATTAAACTGTCTATTGGTTGTTACTAGCTTTTATGATGTCAGAATACACTTTTGCTTCTCGGATGAATGAATATTTTTAAATAGACCTCCCTATATAAGAACTTATAAATTCACAGTATGCTAACTAAGAAATTTTTAACTCTACCATTATGTCATTAATAAAATTAATTTTTGTTTAATTTTCCAGAACACGATTTAAAAAATTTTATATTTAATGATATAATAGGCCTATATAATATTTTTTTACTTAGTTTTAGACATGTCATAGGAAAAGGACACGAGGAAAAAATTTTTAAATAATTTATTTATGCTTAATAAAATAAATCAAAACTATTATTTTTTTGTTTTTTTATCAAAATTTTCTGATTTCCATTATATTCCATGTAAAATACTTCACAATATCCGACATAGTTGAGGAATATTGAACTCACAATGTCTAAATAGATATTTGACTTATACATGTCAATTTTAAAACTTTACAACGATATTGTTATAAATTTATAGAATTATAATTATTATTTTTAGCACATATTGAGCTGTAATATTATATATTTTGAGAGTATACTAATGACTAAGTTTTCACTAAAAATAATTAAATTTTTATATTAATGCAATTTTTACAGGAATAAACTTAAAAATTCGNATAGACTATATACACATTATTTTATACATTCTTATACATATATTATAATTATACATTATACTCTTATACATTATTTAATTGATTCGATAAAAAAAAATGAATAATAATGCCCAACATATTTTATTGATAAATGATTCTAAACGATTACAACTGTAGAAACGCGCATCATTGATCAATATGTATTTATTGATTGAAATTGTTAAATGAATTCAATCCGTTGTATTTTACATGATTTGTAACATCGTTTGATGATCGAATGTTTTGAAATAATACGAAATTCCTATTTAATTTTTCATCGTTCTTATATACGAAAATTTCCACAAAAGGATGTAAAAGTATTTTCAATTTTAAATTTTTTCATATTCTAAAAATTACTTTTAAACATTTAAAAAATAGATCATTAATATATTATTCAGATCACCTCTCAATGAATTTTTAAATTTCCAGCTGTATTTTTGCTATAGATCTTTTAAAAGTTAAGTAGAAATCTGTATTTATTGATAGTTATTTAGAACAAATGAACACATTATCTCAAATGTTCGAACTCTTCGCAAAAATTAGCTTCCAGGTCTGCTGTAGACATCATCGAGCATTTTCAAACAGAAGTACAAATATCCATCAATGTGCTAGGAGATCGTTGCAAATTTTTCTACTATTGAAGAAAAATGTACAACTTTGAAACACTCGGAGACCGAGACCTAACTCTAACTCTCTACTATACCATATTTCATCTTCTAGGTAACCTCACGAAGTAAGTTAAGTGGAATTAATTAAGGTAAACGCGAAGGTTACTTAATTTAATATTACAACTTTCTTCGAGCCATCTGTCAGCAAGCTCGAGGTCAACAGCGATTAGTTTGAACATTTGAAATTAAATTATTATAAAGAAGTTCGTTAATCAGTCACCCGATAGTCTGAAATTGCCGATAATGATCCAGCTTGCTAGTATTCCGAGAATCGGAGTTAGTTTGGACACCTAATACGCTAAAATCCCCTAGCCGTGATACAATACATGCCTGGAAAATAAATTTTATATGCGTACGTATTGTGAATGTTGATTTTGTATAATAATTTGTTCATTAGCGTTTATACAAGTTTTTCAATGTTAACACAGACTAATCTTAATTAACATCCACATTATCTTTAAACTGATTAAAGAGCATACGTAAACAAATCGGAAGCAACATGCGCCGATCAGCTACGTACGCTGGTACAACATATGCTCGTCCTGAAAACATAACACAAATTTGTTGCAAACTTATGTTTGTACTTGTCGTATGTATATAAAATTTTCCTTATTTTACTGCTTATACTATTTAGACACATTTATAAAATAAAAAAGCTAAAGGAAAAATAGAATAATTAATTTAATTTCAATTTATATATTTTTTAGAAAATAATAAAATGGCAAAAATTTTATTGTCGTTTTATTACTTTATTCTAACTACCATTAATTTGAAGTTTTATTTTTTAAAATTATTACTAAATTAACAAAAAATAAAGAAATTAGAGAGATGGTTATCTAAAAGTACAATAATAAATTTTTGTTTAGGCCTGAAGGTTTAGTAATTTTTCAAAGATTTTTCCTGGATATACAAATGATATTCAAGCGTAAAATGTATGTAAAGTACTGTACTTAGGACGTGACCTTGACACGTTGATTGTAACCTTATTTACTGTTAAGATTTTTACAATGTAGCAGCACAGTTGCAATGTAGCAACTGTGCTGCTAGTCTTCCTTTATTTTAAGCAACTCAATTACAGGATTAATTTTGATTTAAAAAAAAAAAAAACAGTAAAAATTATTATCTTTAGGTGCTTTTAAATGTGAGAAAGAAAAGGATTAATACAATCTTGAAATGTGTCTAGATAAAGACATTCATATTGTTGATCACAATAAAACTATGATGAAAATCTCTTACCGGTTTAACAACTATGAATTCAGGCAAAGCAATTTTATTTTTCTTTCTATAGATCATTACTTGTCAGTATTGTTTGTCCATGTCTCGATTTGTCTATATTATATAATGTGTTAAATTTTCTACATTCTTAAAAAAAATTTACGGAATATCTCAATATTAAAATATGCTTAAAATATAGACATATTATATGGTACAAATTAATATTTTATACGTTAAACATTATGTCTTCCATTCTTTACATTTCTGAAACAAAATATTAAAAGATAAAAGAAATATTTTGAATGATTATTCTCATTCTTTGGATTCATTCTTTTGCTGTTTCAATTTAAGTTTTATAATATTAAACAGACATATATGTTATTAAATATTATACTTTTAATTTTTATTTTTTGCTTAAATCTTTTATTTTACAATATAAGTAATTTATTTTCGTATCAATTTACTTTTAAAGCAAATAAATTAAATTATTTTAATATAATATTTTATTTGAATAATAAAACTGAGTATTATATTTCGATTAAAAAATATCGTAATTAACAATTAAACTTAAAATACTAATAATACAGTGGATTTGATTTCCTTTTTTAGGAGCGTTAATATTCTTCTTTAAAATATAAAAACTGGTTAATTTTCATTGTAATTGTTTATTTTATAAGCTATAGACCGATTCTTTATTTTTCTGTTCAATAAAATTTAGAATAAAATTAAAAATATATTTATATATCGACTATAGAAACTAACTAGTGTTTTTTTTTCTTTTTTTTAATAAGAAAATTTATTTTAATTTATAGTATTATTTATTTTTAACAATTAATTATAATTTGATATTTAAATATTCCAGCAAAATCAGACCCAATAAATGTAATGTATGCTAAAAGACATGTTTCCGGGAAAATTTTACTTAATATTTGATATCGCTCATTTGTAATTTTTTATAATTACATAAATTTAAATTGGATTTTGAAATATGCGGATGACATATAGCCTAATTACTGTATTTTACGGCATATAAATCGCAACTTTTATTCAAAAATAATTTTTGGTATTATATATGAAGTTAATATTCATAAATTTACCAAACGGCCTTCAATAAGCTAGAGATAACATCTACCTAGCTCAACTCTTGAATAGAAACTTGTTTTTGTTTAATTAATTAAAAGTATTATTATATTATTTATTATTGTTACTTTTTTAAAATTAGAATATAGTGCCAAAGGCACGGAAATAACTTCTTAAAAACACAAAATATTTATTTAGAGAAAATATTTATTTTATAGTATATAAGACGTACCGGTTCATCTTATATGCCATAAAATACGATACTGTATATTTAATAGTAGCATTAGCCTGAAACTGTTTGAAAATGTTGTTTAAAAATAATCAAATAGAAATAATTAAAGAAAAGATTGCACAATAGGTTGAGATGGTCGATAAGTTTTAGGCTGGAGATGACTACATTGAGGAATAATGTTACTGTAAGTTGTACAGGAAGGTCCACATATCTCCATTCTGTGCAACTGTTGACAACTTTGTCTTAGTTCTTCTACTGTTTTGGGGAGGTCTTTACCCGGAGCTTTACCTATGTAATCAGGTTTCTTTGGATACATGTCATCTCCTAAAAAGAAGCAAATCAGTATATTAGCTAACCAGATAAGCCCGTATTTGTGTAAAATTGGTTTACGTTTTAAACTAAAGTTTAAAATATCGAGTTCTGGCTACACCTAAACTATTGACCTAGTTTTGTAACAACCACTTCCTGAAATGAGCGACTTACCAGATTGGCCGTACTCCCTATTTTAAACTGATATTGATCTATTTTCAAATTATTTAATTATACGGTACATGCATTTTGTATATTAACTAATTTTTCATTCAGTTGCCTTTTGAGATATACTATAAAAAAATCATTATTCTCTAATTTAATTCTCTAATAAAACAAATAGCTGTCTATTACTTGTAATAAATTTGTAACATCTTACACAAAAATAAGAAATAAATAAAACTTGAGAAAACAATCTGATTTTTATTTAATATGATATATAGCCTATAATGTACATTATTATATTAAGAAATTAATATAATAATGTTTAGGTCTAATCTATCTTTAATATATGATAAAATAGATATTATTATACATTGTACCTATTTTAATGGGGATGAGAGTGAAAATTCTTGATAAAATTGTATTCGTTTAATGTAAACTGAATTTAAATCAGAGCTAAAACTTTTTCCTTTGCGAATTTATAAAGTTATGTTAAACAAGGATAACAGGATTTTTACAGTCGAGACATAAGTAGATGTTACCTGACCTCGCTAACGTACTATTTGGGTCAGATTATTGCACAGAGATCATCCAGATGGAATTTGTTTTGCCCTAGAGTAATTGTCCCGGAACCGTCTGAACATATATGAATGACCTTGTATAAGCGAAGCTACGGAATAGTTCATGTAGACATGCGAATTAAAGCAATTTCCTAATAAAAATAGCAATTTAGACGTTTAGATATTTTTCATT